GACTCTAGATCATCATCGTTGAGCTAGCCCTTAAGCTTCCTCTCATGGAGATGGAATGTGTGGACTCGGGGGCTACCCTCGCCATCCAAGCCTTCTACCATCGCTAGTCGCTTGCTTGCCGGGCCGTGGTCTTGCGAGAAGGTCTCCAGTAGCTTGATGCCTTCGCCGAAGTTAACTCCATAGTCGACGTATAGGGCAAGCAGGTGTTTTCAACCCAGTGTCCCGACCTTGGTCACGTTGATCTGCCAAACGAGCGAGGTCAACATTTAGGGACAAGCCAACAGTAATAGAGAATATGAAGCTAGACTACTGAGCTTACCTTGCGCTGCTAAATTTTATTGTTGAGGTCGTTGAGCATGGTTAGAATGTCCACGAAATTAAACTTGAAACAACCTCATACATCTTATCATCGAACTCGTAGAGAAGCAAAATGGCCGCAGTAAGAACTTCACAGAGTCGTTTGATTGCCTCACTACGTGAAATCCACCTCATATCCTTGATTCGCTGCATTTCAAGCTACGTCTGCAGGTCCTAAAAATGTGGGTGGACAACGATCGAACATCCCAAGATGTTAGCCAACGATCGCACCATCTTGTAAACAATCCCAAGGTATGGAGAATTGGTAGCCGCATCCTTGGCCGCGAGTGCCTTCCTTCAAAGCACAGGAGACATAGTCAACAAGTCAATGAAGGATTCCAAAAACGGCAACGTTTCATGCACAACAACCTCATACTTGTAGGCGATGCAGTGACACGACACGAGATGTGGTACCTGAGCCCGCAACCACGCCACAAGTCCACGTGTTGCCCCCGTCATGATCGACTTGCCATTGGTGAAGATCCCTGAGATTTTTTTGAGGTCCACTCCCATTCTCTCGAGGTGCGCCAACATCGTCCTCAGAAGAATAGTCGTGTCACACTTGTCGACGGACAGATGCGCGTAGAACTCAGTGGTAACACGCGGCTTCTTCTATAACATCAAGTAGACGATTAGGTGTCTGCCGCGGCGATGATCCGAGCTCTCATCAAGCTGAATACCCATGAAGGAAGATGTGAGGACGTGCTTCATCTGCTTGGTGTGAAGGTAAACAATCAATACTTTTATGAGTTGCTTTAAGCACTACCTGTACCATGGAAAACAGCCGTGTTAGTTGCAGAATATTTGTCATATACAGGCAACACACATACTTACTTTGATTGGTAGATCAGATGCCTTCTAGGATGTGCAGCGTCCTCTGCTGGTAGAGAAGTCTGAGCAGCGAAACAAAGGTAGCAATCAGTGCATCTTCCTTGCAAATCCACAAAACAACTGCTAGATGCCGCCTCAGGCAGGCCTGTACCCCCTTAGACTCCTCAAAGTCGGTGATGTTACATTGCGCCAAAATCTTCAAGTCCATATGCAATTCTGCCTCCTTCGCCCACTCGAGCTTCTTGCTCTGGGCTTGCTTCTGCATGGACTGCTTCTGAATATCAACGCCTCCCTCTCCATAGTTGCTGTATTGTCAGTTAGGAGGTGCGTATGCCATGCAGATGGTGCACTTCATGCAGGGTCTACCATCCTTCCGCTGGTCGACCACAAGCCAAGGAAACCATCCCTTCTAGTGTTCGTCAGCCTTTCCTTGCAATGGGATCTGAAACGAGGACGTCGTTCCTCGAGGGGCTTGACTGCAAGTTAGTGAACGTCTCCTGCCGTGGTGGCTTGGAGGAAGAGGAGGGAGGAACATGGTTGGAGGAGGATTGAGAAGTGGAGAGGTGGATATAAGGGACTCAAGTACGCGCGAATCTGATCGTACGCTGCGTGTAGTGTCCTTGCGGGTGCTTGGCATGCAACAGCTTATCAGAGCCGACATTGAGGGGAGGCACTAAAGGAGGGGAGCATGGCAAGGAATGTGGAAGGGCAGGAGGGCTAACGCTCGATGGCACGTTCTGAGCCACAGCCACTAGCTCGCAGGACGAGGAGGCTCGTGGCAGGGATTCTTGGCGAGGTGGAAGGGCTAGGATACATCTGATGGCTTTTGCCAAAGGTGAACGCATAAATTTTGGGACTAGTCAAAGGAGGGGCCAGAGCTTAAATGGCGGTAAGGCCTGCATGGATGCATGGCAGAAACGACGTGGGAGGGAACTGCATGATATAACTGCAACCAGATTTGAGACGGAATCAGCTCCAAATTCGAGCTAGACAGTTTTGGCAGGGGCAGCCAGATACTGAACAGGGAGTTGGTGAAGAAGGGCTCCACCTCCATTTGGCCATGCCTCAAACCACGCTGACGAATCATATGAGGATGGGAAACGGTCTCTTGTCCAGCAAGATGCCCGCCAGCAATGCATGGTCCTACTCGTTCAGATGGAACACGAAAAAGGACCATGCTCTGGAGGCATGACTGAGTTGCCATTTGCTGCTGGCCAATGCGCACCAATGCACATGAGAGCAGCCGCTGACTTATGCTAAGTCTCAGCCAGTTGGGTAACTGCTGGCTGAGTTGCGGCAGATGGGATGCAACTTGTGGCATTGCGCGAGGGGAAAAGCTGCAATGCCGAAACCTCTCAAGAAATTAGGGGGTGGGTATGCAACTTCGGGAGAAACGTCGTGGGGGGAAGTTGGCCTTCCTTGTACCCTCTGCAGCTCGTTCCCGGGCACCCTTTTAATGCTTGGCGAACTGATGTGCGCATGGTACAGTAGATTGTGGGCCCGGCGTCAGGGGCGTTACTGCATCTTGACCTTCCCAGGTGGCAGGATCGTCACACGTGGTGCGAATCAGCTGCTCCAACGTCTGTTTTGGGGTGACATGAACTGCAAGCCGGTGCTGAACTGTTTCCAGAGGGTGCCCCAGAAATTGTTTGTGAAAATTGTGTTACGATCGCTGGCGATGGTGCTTAGCAATCCATGCCGACGAACCACTATAGCCATGAATAGTTTCGTTGTCTGCTCTTCTATGATGCGTCAGTCGGTCCATGACAACGGATAGTGCATCGTAATCACTTGGGCCAGCCAGTAACTATGTGACAAAATCCATTCTACCCGCGGTATCGGTTGGAGTTGGCAGGCGGGCTTTGTCCTCGTTTTTTTCATGACTTGGCACGTGGGGCATCTCGCCATATATCGCTCCACACTGCTCACCATGTTTGGCCAGAAATAATATGCACCTGCTTACGTGTTTTCTCTACACGTAGATACCCTGAGGCATTCTTCTCATGTGCCTCCTAAATCAGCAGCTCCCGAAGTAGCGAATATTCGTGTACCCTGATTCGGTTTCTTCCCGCAATTACGTAATACTATCCTTGTGGCTATGTGGACTGTGTGTGATCTCCTGAAATGAATTGTATGTCGGTCGTGAATCCGTGGGAAAATAGTCCAGTAAGTAGCTTGTTGGTTAGTGCTAGTAACATTGCGTGGTGAAGGAAGGCCGTTGGGAGAGTCACGGCGTCCGCAATATTAGATGTAAGATTTTTAAAGTGGGAAACACTTTCTAAAAATGTGTATTGTGAAAGTGTAGCGAGGGCCAACGCAGCAAAGGCGGCGTCAAAGCGCTACTCACCCTCTTTTGCCTAAAAAAGAGGGACGTGAGGCCATTCGGCCTCACCCACATTCT